GGAGACCAGGCTGGCCTCGAACTCACAGAGATCCGCCTGCCTCTGCCTCCCGAGTGCTGGGATTAAAGGCGTGCGCCACCACCGCCCGGCAAGACAGGGTTTCTCTTTTGACAGGCCTAGAACCCCCTTGTAGACTGGGCTGGCCTCGAACTCACAGATATCGGCCTGCCTCTGCCTCCCAAGTGCTGGGATTAAAGGCGTGCGCCACCACCGCCCGGCTATGCCAGTCTTTTTTATAGGAGCAAATATATTCACTCTTTTTCAGGGTGTGTTTCAGAACAGGGCCCTTCTGAGCGTTCTCTGGCTTTTCCCCATGGCCTCGCCATTAATATTAAATACTGATACCACGGGCTTTGCTAACTTCACTAGCTTGCAGCTGACCGGACCTGGCAGGTGACAAGAAGTCACTGTGGTCACACAGTCAGGGATTTCCTCAGACCATAAAAGCATTTTTTTTTTTTAAATTTCTCAGATTTCTTAAAGGTAATACTGGATTTCTGAAAGAAAAAAGACTGCTGTATAGTCCGCTCTGAGGGTTTCCGTGTTGGTTTCCCAGAGGCATTTATGTTTGAGAAGCCTGCCACCTGCTGGACAAGTGTGTAGTAGCATGCCAGGTCACAAAGTTCACCAAACTTTCTCCTTGAGGATCTCACATGAACAATGCCTCATCTGTTGTCCCAGCTTTGGGAAGCAGAATGAATAAGTTAGACCTTTTTGAAATGTTTTCTGGGACAGTCTCATATCTTTATAGCAGAGGAGTATTTTGTTAACTTAAAAATGTTTTAAGGGGGCTTGAGATGTATGTAGCCAAGAGTGTTTCCCTAGTAAGCACAGAGCCCTGGGTTCTAACCCAGCATCACATAAACCCTTATGGTGGCACATCCCTATTATCTCAGTACCCAGGAGGTGGCAGCATGAAGAGTCGAAGTTCAAATGCAGTGGAGGCAGGAGGATCAAAAGTCCAAAGTCATTCTTGGATCCTTGGTCACAGAAGGTTTGAGGCCAGCTTGAGACATATGAGAACCAGATTCAAAAACAAAACAAAACAAAACAAAACACAAAGAGACACTGGCAAAAGCAATAATGATAAATATTATATGCAGAGTTCTGCTCCGTACCGAACTCTGGAACTCCACTATTTGCAATACCCAAACACCACCACAGGCAGATTCTGTGGATCAAGACCCTCACGTTACAGAATGCGTTAAAAGAGGGGAGGGTACCTTACCCCTCCCCGACTCACCAACCACCCACACCTCGGAAGTCACAGCTCATGGCCACCTTTACCCCATCACCTGGCCACAGCTGACAAGATGAGAATTAGTAACCAAGCAGTGTTCGCGGGAGTGGATTAACTACATTCTTCTGGGAATTTTGAATCTGACCTGAAAGGCACAGGTGCAGGCTAGTGACCTGATTGGAGGTCACGTGGGCCAGGAGACCCGGTGGAAAAGTTTTGGTTAAAGGCAAAAAGGATACTGAAAAAAAAAAAAAAAGGTCAAAGCCAGAAACTTACAGTCCAGGAATGTGTAAAGCAAATACTCCTCCCAAGTTTGACATGCATTATTTACCTGAAATTAGTTTCTGTCCTAATTAGCTAGAAGCCTGGTATGGGGCCGATAGGGGTGCTGTGGAAAAGACAGACAAACGTTTTCCCGGAATTGTTCACCATACACGACTGAGGTGCGGCCCGTGTCTGGCATTGTGGTGGGCGCTGAAGCGACAATTGCAGAATGGGGTCTTCACAAGTGTCCCGAGCCAGGCACTCGCCCTTACTGTGTGCGAGATGACTTAGAGTGTCATGGAGAAAGAAGCTGTTCCCACCTGCGAGCATTAGAGTGACTTCTGGACATTTCATACAAGTAGAGCGTTGGTAAATCCATGCTGAGAGGAGTCTGGGAGAGAAGGGACGGGAGGCAGAGCCTGAGGAAAACCACAGACTGTCCTATTGGTGCTGGAGCTGGCTTTAGGCCTACTCCCGAGGGCTGTTTTTAAACGATGTCTGTATGGACCATTTCCCTTTATTCAGCCCCCTGTCTACACCCGTTCCCAAGTCACACAGTGCACCTTCCTACTAGAAAAGGAGAAAAGGGAGAGGGTCTCCGGGTATAGAACCCCTGAGCTGCTAGGATACGTGGGCACAGTTCACCCATGTACACAGCTGGGCTGAGTGGAAGCTCTTTTGATAAGAATGGGGAGACTGAGGGACAAAGTGTGACGTCATTTCCTGCCTGTGACAGAGCTGGTGAGAGCCAGAACCGAGTGCAGGCTCATATTTTCAGATACAACCAGAATTGATTAGCAGAACGAATAACAGGGAAGGCACATGCATTGCTTTGCTTATTTACTTCTAGGGTTAAATACATTTTAACTATGTGACGTGTGGGAGTTTTCTGTGCACATGTGAAGGTGCCCGCGGAGGCCAGAAGAGGGCATTGGATTCTCTGGAGCTGGAGTTTTATGCAGTTGTAAACCACCCAAGATGGGTGCTGGGACCTGAACTCTGGCCTCAGCAGGCACCGTATGCACTCTCAACTGCTGAACTATTTGTTACTGTGCATAAGTGTAAGAGTCACAACACTTAACCTGGGGCTGGGGAGGGGGCATGAGCTGGGGATGCAGCTCATTTGGAAGAGGCTTGTGAAGCATGCACCAGACCTGGAGTTCAGACCTCAGTTTGCATAAGCCGGGGGTGGCGGAGCTGTAATGGCAGAATTCAAGAGATGGAGGTTGGAGAGAACCGGAAAGTCATTCAATGTTGTCCTTGGCTACATCAGCTCTGCCTCAAAACAAAAGAAGAAAAAAAAAAGCCACATAGGTGAGTTTAAACACCCTCTTACAGGGAGAGAAGGATATGGGGTGTGGCATATTTAAAGGGTAGATCTCTTTCAGGGAAGATGGATGGGCCCAAAGAACAGATATCATTCTGGAGAAAACCTCATCTGGGCTCTAGATGTCATGTTCTGTTTTCAGTTTTCCTCAATGTCACAGAAGTCCATTTCCCTGTAGTTAATGACATGTCAGTAGAAAACAGAAGCAATTCTGGTCCTCTTTGGGCAGCTGTGTTCAGAAAAATGAAGGGACATTGCAGAAAGTCTTTCCCAGTACTTTGGAAAAGGAAGGTCAGAGGACCCTTGACCCCAAGACACTTCTAAAACCTCTCAGCATGCCAAACTATAACCTTAAAGTCATTTCCTGATCTCCACAGTTTACAATGTGACTACTATTTTAATTATCCCATTTCCATGGCTTAAGATTTGTCCTCACATATACATCAAGCTCTGTCAAACTAACTTGAAGACCTTGATCATGAGCTTTCTGCTTGGGGGTCTGTTTTATTCAGCATGGGGCCCAGAGTTGGTATAAGGGACTGCCCATGGACACTCAGTATAGGGAATGGTATTGTTAGATAAAGGCCACACAAGACCATTGTTTTAGACTAAATCACTACACTGGGCTCCAACACACCTGGCTAAAAATTAAAACAGAGTCACCAATGCCAAAGTTCCACACCAGCAACTCAGAACAAAGATGCTTATTTGAATTTCCAAGGAATGAGCAGGACTGAGAGATAAGACTTGCTGGAGCAGGCCAGTTTTCATGGCCAAACAACATTGCCTGTCTTTAATTGGTATATGTGGTGCTCCATGTAAATGGTAATGTAAGCCGGATGTAGGGACATAGGTGTTATGCGGAGGATCATGAGTTAGACCCAGCTTAAGCAGCCAAGTGAGACCCAATGTCAAAAGCAAGCAAGGGCTAATACAAGGTTATTATTTTCTATTGTTCTCTGCAATGGAAATAACTTTGAATCTTTCAGCCTATCTTTGCTCTTTTGTAAGTTCCTCAGTCCTTGTTTGTAAAACTGACATCCTTCAATGTGCTATGAGAACTTACTGTGCTTTATGGAAGGAAATAGTGCTTGATTCTAAAATTGCAAAGAAAGCCCATTCATTAGGAGGTTAAACTAAATGATTACTGTTTTGCACCTCATATGCCCTTAGTTTCTATTTCTTACAGAGAAAAAACAAACAAACAAATCACTGATAACCACTAAAAAGACTGAGGCTGCTCCTTAGTCCTCTGGAAATACCAAACCTGTGAGGTCTTGAGGCAGGACAAAGACAGGGGAAATTATGAGCACATGAGAAAAAAAGGGGCCCCCAACTCTAAGGTCTAGTTAAAGCCTTTTGCCAGCTACCAATCAAGAATTCCAATACAATTAACAGTATTTGTTGTTTGAAGGCTTCCAAAACAGAGATGAAATTTCTTTTATATATATAGAAAGATTTTCAAATAAAAAATATCAAAGCATCAATAAGCCAGCTTGGGGCCTAAGTGCATATGACTTTGGGCAGTTCCTCACTCCTCTCTCAGATATGGTCAAGGAAATCTTCAAAGCAAAAATGCTAATTTTTGTTTAGTCAAAGTGACCTAACCTTGTCTTTTTAATTTTTATTTATTATTGGTGTATATATGTGTGTGAAGTATGTGTCTTTGTGTATGTGTGATGTATGTGTGCATTTGTGTGATCCGTGTGTGAGATGTGTGTGCACATGTGTGATGTGTATGTGTGTGTGACTGTGTGTGTCATGACACACATGTGGAGTTCAGAGGACAACGCTGTAGGGTCTCTTCTCTTTCCACATTTACATGAGTTCCAGGGATCCAGTTCTCCACTTAGCTTGGCTAGCTTGACTGGAAATGCTGTCAGCCCACTGAGCCACTTTGATGGCCCTTGAGTCTTATTTTATTAATTGTAATCCTGTCAGGTGCAGCTCAAAAACTATTATGCGAGCTAATTTAAATTGCTTAGTAACCTTTTGAAGGTCTGAACTTCAGAAATCACCCATATTCTATATACAATTAGTCGACTAAAGTGCCAGTCTCCTTTGAGAAGCCCACCTCCCCGCTCTCAGACATGTCTTGGTCTTGCCCTGGGTGCCTGTAACCCCTTCTTCTGAAATATATTAAGAAAGTCTCTTAAAAATTATTTTTAAATGTGGATGAGCTTTGCCTGTGTGCCTGCATTTGTACCATGTGTACAGCTGTGGCAGCTAAGAGGTGGCACTGGATGCCCTGGTACTGGAATTACAGATGTGGGTGAGAAGGAAGGGGATGCTGGGAACTTAGCTCTGCTTCTCTGCAAGGCCAGCAAGTGCTCCGGCAGCACTGAGCCATCTCTTTAACACTAGAGTCGTCTAACAAGCTCCAACTCTGCCTCAACCTGGATTGTCCTGAAATCCTTTTCTGCTGCAAAAGAGCCAGGCAAGGATCCAGCCTTACCTGAGTGCAGGCCCCCAAATAGAAGGGAATGAATTCCTCAGGCTGCTTCAGGGGGCATCAGGGCACTGTGTCTGTGCACCTCCCCCTGCTGGGTCTCGGTTTTTGTTTGTGTTTTCTGTTCAGAATTGCTACAGAAAAATCAGGTTAATTGTCATCTTTGTGAATTAACTTGTGAATGAGTTCCGGTTATGCTAACGTTGAGTAGTTTCCTATTATAGGAAATGCAATTGAATTTATTTCCTGCCCAGCCATCCTTTCCCCTACAATGTTCTTGTCTTCGGGCAAAGCTACTTCTGCAACAAACAGCCTTCGGGAAGTCTCAGGTTGGCCATCAGAGGGTGAGGTTGGAATCTGATGAAGCTTGCTGTGTTCGGCAGCAGGAAAGTGAGAGTCCCGGTTCCTGGGGTGAAACTTGGCGGTGGCATCGTGAAGTCTTGGTGACGGATGGATGCTCATGGTTCATTTGACTCCACCAACCATGCGTTTGCCTGTCATGCTGATGCAAATGTACATTCAGTAATACACTTAATTATTTCTCTTAGGTATATGGCTCTGTCCTGTCTCTAATCTAAATGACTGTAGCCACAATCCACTTCCCTTTGTTCTTTCCCCATGTATCACCCCTATCACCTACACCGGTCCTCCCCACAGCTCTCACAGAATGAATCTTCCAAAACTGAAGCTGTTATGTTTTCCTTGCTTGGAGAAGTTCAGCTTTTCTCTGTTGCCTGGTGAGCTTGCATTGGCCTCCAGGGCTCGGGAGGAAGCTTTCAAGCAATTGGGCCAAGTCTGTTTCCACTCTCCCCAAATCTCCACAATCTCAGCCAAAGTCTACTACCTTCCAACTTGCAAACTTTTGCTCCTGGAACAGGTGTGGGGGACTATGTATATGTTCTGTGTGCTTTTGGATGTGGCTTGTTTTTGTTTCTTTGTTTTTCTGAGACAGGGTTTCTCTGTGTAACAGCTCTGGCTGTCCTGGAACTCAATTTGTAGACCAGGCTGGCCTTGAACTTTCAGAGATCGGCCTGTCTCTGCCTCCAGAGTGCTGGGATTAAAGGCACGCATCATGGCCAACTGGCTGGGGACTGTTTTTGAATAGCCCATAAACTAAGATGATTTTCACCTGTTCAAAATCTGGAAGAGACAGAAACAGTGAAAGAAGAGGGAGATAAGGGGGGGGGGACCCAGTTGACCCTAACATACTATCTGGTCTTTTAGAAACAGAGAAAACCAAATTTATTCAAATACAATTTTATGATTCATAGAAGCCACCAGAAATGGAGACTGAAAGGCCCAGGAAAATCTGTCTATTCCTGGACTTACTTTCGGTGAACTATGGACAGCCACAGAAAAGAGTGGTTAGCCAAAGAGAGTCCATCCAGTACCAGCATCTACATTCTTGCAAGCTTTTCAACCCAGATTTAGGGCAAGACATTGGAAAAAACTTGTCTTAAACAAAGTAGAAAACAAGGACTAACACCCAAAGCTGTGCTCTAATTTCTACATACCTGCAGTGACTCACATGGAGAAATCATGTACTCATGGGAAGAAGGAGGGAGAGAGGGAGGGAGGAGGGAGGAAGGGAGAGAGGGGGGAGGGAGGAAGGAGGAGGGAGGGACAGGGAGGGAGGGAGGGAGAGAAGGGAAGGGAGGAGAAAAGATGACCAGTTTGAAGCCAGTTTAGGAGAAATCAGTACAATTAGATCACTGTGAAGATCTCTCATGTGCAATAAGTACAGCAAGACCAGCAGCCCCACCCACACAAACATGGAACTAAGATATGAGGTCCAAAGATACAAGGCAACTCGGTATTACTCGGCAAGAAGGAGCGTTCGTGTTAGTTTGGAGTTCTCATCTGTTTTAGGGATGGAGGACAGAAGCCAGGCAGGTAGGCGCTGTACCTCAGAGTTGACAACCTCAGCCCGAAAGCCTCTGTTATAGTTGAGTTTTTAAGAACCGTAACGTGCAGTTCCCAGCGTGGGCAGTAAGGAACGAAGGAAGCCGAGGCGGAGGCGGCTCACTGCTCCGGCTGGAGACACCGCATTCCAGCTGGCGAGTCTGTCCAGGGCCATTTCCCGCGGCATCAACCATGTATCTCTTCACTTTTTAACCTCATTGTCACACCCTCTTCACACTGAGCCCGTAGAGAACGGAAGGAATCGTAGAGACAAGTGGGGTCACACGTGGTGCCCCTCTTAGGCCCGACGAGAGAGACCGTTGCTCTCCCATTATCCAACCAGTGAGACCCCGAGGCTTTGGAGGAGCAGAGAAGGATTTCTTCCTACTCCTCCATCCCAGCCAGCAGCAGCTCACCTACAGGGCTGATGCCTCTCTCAGGAGTCATGTGAGGGGACCCGGAGCCCAACACTCACTTGTGGGAGGCCTGGGGTCCTGAAGAGGAAGTCTGGCTGGCACCCGGCTCTGAGCTCAGTGATGAGCCAGTAGAGGAGGAAATGGAGCTGACATGCGTTCCCTGGGATCTGCCCATCCCACCCCCAACCTTCTTGTTGCTAGGCAGCCACACCCGAAATTTCTCCCCAGGAAAAGCACACTCAGGAAACGCTCTCATGCTGCAGCCTCTCACGTCTGCAGATCGCCAAAGGACTCTGAAGTGAGAGGAGCCACCCTGACTGTCCCACCAACAGCTCTCGACCCGGCCACCCTGCCTGTTACTTTTCTTTAAGGGACTGAAACTACTTGGCAGCCATGACTACACACGCAGTAGTTTCTCATACCTGTCTCTCTTCATCCGGGGATGCAAGGTCCAGGGCGGTTGTACAGTCTGTCCGCCATCCTTTGCAGGACTTGATGTCTGCCTTGCTGAGACGGAGAAGAAAGGGAAACAGTGATGCGTTTTCCCCAAGTCTACACTGGTACTGGCTAAGTAGCACAGGCCATGAAAGTACTAAGTCTCTGAGGCCAGCTTTTCTCATCTGCTAAGTGGAGAGTAGAATTATAATCCCAAACAAAAACCAAAATCAAGCATCAGGCAGCGGCAATTGTGCCTGACGCAAGCCGGCAACGTGTCAGGGGTCTAGTACGTCTTCAGCTCACCCCGTGACGCGGAGCTTGTCATCTAGAACCTTCTTACCATGTCAGTATTTCTTCAGTGTGCTCCAAAAAGGTTTGGACTTAAGGGTCTCTACAGCAATAATCTGTGAGCTGTGCTTTCTATCAAACTAAAAGTGAGGTTCCCTATGCTTAGATGTAATTAACGACCTCATCAAGTTCATGGCTGGAACTTAGTTTCTTTCTTTCTTTCTTTCTTTCTTTCTTTCTTTCTTTCTTTCTTTCTTTCTTTCTTTCTTTCTTTCTTTCTCTCTCTCTTTCCTTCTTTCCTTCTTTCCTTCCTTCCTTCCTTCCTTCCTTCCTTCCTTCCTTCCTTCCTTCCTTCTTTCTTTCTTTCTTTCTTTTTTTTTTTGACTCACAAAATCCTACTAGGACGGTCTCATTTCCAACATGCAGGGTCACCGGGGCTTCAGATCACACAGATGTGAAGGGCTAAGCAGAGTTAACATCTATGTTCCTGCTGCTTTATTGATATTTCTGTTGTGTTCATTTTCCTCCTTAAATTTTTTTTTTTATTCTTGTGAATTTCTTACAGGTACAATGAAACATGATTATGTCTACCCCTCACTCCCCTGACTCCAACTCATTCCCACATCCCCCTAACATCCATCTCTCCCAACTCTGTCATCTTTAAATTAAAAAAAAAATCACCCAATATTCAGAAAACTAAGACAGGAGGATTAAGAGTTTCCAGACCCTTAAAAAAATGGGTGCCAGGTCCAATGAGATGGCTCAGCGGGTAGGCGAGCTTGACTGAAAGCCTGATAACCTGAGCTTAATTCCCTGGACCCACACGGTGAAAGGGAGCACCAAGTTGTTCTCTGACCTTCATACTACACCATAATACAGGTATCCCAAGACCTGAACTAGATAAAGGAACGTCACAGGATTTTTAACGATTATAATTGAATGAAATGTATAGCCGAGGAAGGAAACTGCACATTACTGAAATTCTAGGCCTGTCCAAATATCCTTCTGGAAGGTGATTTGGGTACTGTGAGCACTTTCTAAGGATAAATAGTAATGCACACAGTGCGTCAGCACAGAAGGAGAACATGTCCACATGACATAGTTCTCAGAATAAATTACTATTTTTTTTACATTTTTTTTACACTGAAAATAGATTCTCATACAATATATCCTGATTCTAGTTTTCCCCCCTCTGTTCCTCCCAGTCCCTCCGCACTTCTCCTCTGGACCCACCCCTTTCTGTCTCTCATTAGAAAAGAACAGGCTTCTAAGAGTTAACAAGATATATGTTCTAGGTTTGGATACTACCCTTTATTATTTACAAGCTACCACGTCTCACATATTTGGTATACACACAAATCTAGATTAAAACCTTACCTGTGCATATGGTTCATTTGTTTAGCGCTAAGGATCATGCTTTAAAGGGACTAAAGATCATGTGTTAACGTCACAGGACCTGTGGAGACCCAGTGTGCTGATATCAACTAATATCGAAACTAGAGACAAGGGACGCTCCAGTTGTCAGCTGATCGCCCGATCTGGTGATTACTAAGCGATTGTTAAAGAGTTATTCAGAGCAGAATTCTCTTCCTATTTGACTCTTAGTAATATAAACCACCAGCAGACAAACAAGCAAATAAACCTGGCCCAGAACCGTCTCCAAAAGAAAGAAAGAGCAATTCCAGGTCCCCCAGCTGCCACGGAGAACAACTAACGATGATGGTCCCTATGACTTCCACCCACAGTGACTAGGATGACTAGCATTAACCTGGAAGACCTATGACTCTCCTTAAAAATCATAGAAAATGGTCATCCAGGTCCTGGAAGGGTGAGTGAGGGAGAGCATAGGAATGAATGGAGAATGTTCTGGAAATCGACATTTGTACCTGCAGCCTTGGCCCACCTGGGCTTCATTCAGCCGAGGGAGCATGCTCTGAATTCTGTGAACTTCAGGTAGTGATGCTATTGTGCATCGAACCTGATGGAGACTGTCCTTCACCCACTTTCGAGCCCTGTTCTCAAACAGGTCCCAGCTTAGCCAGCTTTTAGCAAGAATCCGATGTCCACCTACAATCCTGCATCTTTAATATTGTCTCACCCTCAATGTCTGGTCATATATACCCCTGCCTTGCTCTCTCACCACCCCGGCCTGCTCTGCTTTCTCATTCCAGCCAGAGTCTCCCAACCCTGTTTTAGTGTTCTGTCACCAATACTCACAGGCTGCCTCTTAGCTATAAATCCATTCTCTTGTATTCAGTGCTCAGCTTGATCTCTTCCCTTCCTGCAGCCATCTTGACACTGTATATATGTGTGTGTGGCATGTATATATATACACACACACACATACATATATGTACATATGTGCATATATACACCACACACACACATACACACACACACACACACACACATATATATATATACACAGACACAAACATATATACGTATTTTTGAGGCAGGGTCTTACTTTGTAGCCCTGGCTGGCTTGAAACTTGTTATGTAGACCAGGCTGGCCTCGAACTCACAGAGTTATGTGCATAAACTTGTTAGATCAGGCTGTCTCTGTTTCCTAAGGTCCAGGGTTAAGGGCTTGCATCATTCCAGGCCAACTCTATGTAAACTGACATTTTCACATATACCGATACTCCTGAAGAAATTTTCCCTTTGATGTTAATAAAAGTCATCATAGTTATTTACATGAAAAAATGGGCCCTCTCAGCCTATTCTAGACATCATTGATGTGTGCCTCACAGAACTAAGGGTTTATCCCTTGGGATAAAGCACCAAATTAAAGGGCATGCCACTTTCTTCCAATAGCTCCTTCCCATTCCTGAGCCTTGAGCAAAGGGAAGTGCCCTGTGCATAGATGCAGTAAAATTAGTATATGGAAAAACACCAAGGTGTTCAGAGCAACCACAATACCCAGTCGTCATTCGATTTACACAATAAAATCTACCCAAACTGTGGAGTCTTAGCTTAGTGTTAATACCTACTCACAATGCCACAAGATGGAGACACTCTTCCGATAAAGGCCGTGCCCCAGTGCACACTGTGCATCACATTACATTGCAACTGCCCCTTGGGAGAGCCCGAGCAACCTCAGGGCGGGCACCCTGGGCAGGAGACTGGGTGGCGAGTTTCTCACTCACTGAGCACAGGCCTGTGGCTCGGTTATCACTTGAAGGGCTGAGCTCAGACACAGGATATGGAGCAACAGTTCCTTAGATATCCAGTACTGTAACTACATTGTTACACTTAGAGTGGGTTTGAGGCCAGCCTGGGCTATTTGAGCTACTGTCTAAAAAGTACCATTTATTCATGACCTCCTATCAAATCTTCATAAACTAAGACTAAGTAGGAAATTATATATTTCAATAAACAGTGGGGTTATGAAACAAGAAGGTGAGCGTCACAGCAGACCAATGCTTCCTTTGAATATTTGCTTTGAGTTTTTGAGACCGAGTCCCACGTAGCTGACATTGGTCTCCAACTTGCTATCTGAGGGTAATTCTGAACTCTGAACCCTCTGGCCTCTACTTCCTGGGATTAGAGGCATGCGGGACCATGTCTGGCTCTTCATTTTCACTTTTATCATAATATTGGAAATTAAACTCTGTATCTCCATGTGTTAGGCAATTCTTCTACCACGGAGCCACATCCTTGGCCAGTTTTGAATAATTTTACTCTCCTTTCTTATCCTCATAAATATTTTAAATTATTATAATAGAGCTTTTAATATACATTGCTGCCCCTGAGGAAGAAAAGGGGGAGGGTGGAAGGAGACTCCCCTGGTGTCTGGGTGAATGTATTAGCAACCCACCTTCCAGTACAGGTATCAGATGCCTCCCCATCACAGGGGCCAGCCCAGGACCCAGCAGTCCTCTTCCTGTCCCACTAAAGGTGACCCATGTCCTACTACCCAGGTGCCCTTTTGGGTTCTATGTTCTCTTCATTCCTCCCTTCCCTCATGATGCCTCAAGCCCCAGATGCAGGGCCTGACCCAGTCTAAGCAAGGGTTTTACAATTAAGCTACATCCCAATCGTCACTGTCGTTTCAGAGACAAGTGTTTTGCTACACTGACCAGGCAGGCCTTGAACTCCTAGGACTGAGATCCTCCAGTTCCTGCATCCTGAGTAGCTCAGATGACAGGTGTGAGGTACCACTTTCAACTTGGTAATTTTTGAAACCCTTATACAAATGTAACACGAACTTATAAGTAGTTCAGGTGTGGGTAAACAAAGGGGGGGATCACCTGGTTTGGCCTTCATTACCTTTACTCCGGTGTTTAATGGTACACTCATCCATTCTTTCCTTACACTTCCAGGAAAAGAAATGGGTAATGGTCAATTGACCAAAGTAATGTGGAACCATTAATCACTACTATGGAAATGTTATGGTTCCCCAGACATCCTTATGTGACATCAAACAGGAAGCTTGGTAGAGGAGAGTTGGCTATCTACGGGATCCGATATAAATCACTACCGGTGACTATTCATTAAACTCCAAATTCATGACTCCCTAAGTGAAATTAGATATAAATCAGGCTGTGCTGGGTGGACAACATTCCTCGGTTGGGGAATACAGTTGTATCTCAGCCGTTTGGACTCCATCTGGTGAGACTCACAGGCACCTGCCATGGCTCTCAATTAGGCTGAGCAGCTGTTAGCCATTGCCTCACAGAGAACCCCTCAAAACCCAGTGGATTTAAGCCATCACCTCTTATCACTCAATTCTCCAAAGCCTGGAGTGACATGGAGGTAGGCTGATCACCACTGGCACCCCTAATGCTTCTGGAGTTTCCCAGGAGCCTCTGTCCTACCTGGGCTTAGCCGGTCATCTCAGTGGGTTCGGATCTGCTCCGTGTCACTCACCTGTCTCCTGAGCCCAGCAGACATGCCTGAGTCTGTTCTGTCCACAGTGATGGCAGGATACTCAGGCAGTCTTTCTCCAACCCCTTGAGACCCGACTTTGGGTCTGGTGTGGCACATCACCTCATTCTAGGGCTTCACAGGTGGAAGGAGGATTCTCCCTGGTTAGTGGGGGGAAAATCACAGAATCATGTGGAAAAGAACATGGATACAGGACAAAACCAAACTGGAGCCATTCAGAAGACCTCTAAATGGTAATAGGTAATTATACACGTCAGCTTCACTGGGCTGTGGGATTCCCAGGCATCTCCTGAAATGTGAGTTTTGGGGTGTGTCTGAGGATGCGTCCACAAGTGGTCAGCATCTGGTTTAGTTATCTGAGTGAAGCAGTCAGTACCTCTAGGCCCTCCAATGCCAGAGAGCATCTGTAGCACGAATCTTAAAAGTTCTTATTAATAAGAACAAACCTGGAGCCAGGTACTGGGGTGAACGCTGGAAGATCAGAGAAGCAGAACAAGCCACAGCTTCCTTACCTTGCAATTCCTCAGCTGATCTTGTTTCCTCAGACTGGAAACCTCTGTGTCCTCATCCAAATGGACCTCAGCTGAACTGCTTCTCAAAAGCCTGAAAGCTTAACCAGGTTCTAGTTCCTGGTTTTCATGCCTTTTATACCTTTCTGTTTCCTGCTATCACTTGCTGGGATTAAAGGCTCTTGTTACCACACCTGGCTGTTTCCAGTGTGGCCTTGAATTTACAGAGATCCAGACAGATCTCCACCTTTGGAATGCTAGGATTAAAGGCGTGTGTGCCACCATTTTCTGGCCTCTATATCTAGTGGCTGTTCTGTTCTCTGACCCCAAATAAGTTTATTAGGGTGCACAATATTTGGGGGAACACAATATCACCACAAGCATCAGCCAACCCACCGCCTGCTGCAGCTGGAGCACCAGTCTCCTGAGTCCAAATTATCCATTCTAAGGCAGCCATTCTCAACCTGTGGTTTTTGACCCCTTTGGCAGGGGGCACATATCAGATATTCTGCACACCAGATATTTATATTATCGTTCATAACAGTAGCAAAATTAGTTATGAAGTAGCAACGAAATAATTTTATGGTCGCGGGTCACCACAACATGAGGAATTGCATTAAAGGGTCACAGCATTAGGAAGGTTGGGAACCTTTAGAATCTAAAGCCTTGAGCCTCCGGTTGGATCTACTATACAAGCTCCGAGGCTCAGGACCACTGTTGGATTCCCGCATCTCCGCCTTGCCCAAGGCACGTGGCCATACTTCTTGGCCTCCATACTGACAAGAGACCATTACTTAAAATCAATCTCACTTACACTTTTCTCCTTTCCTCTTTCTCTTCTCTCCTCCGCCTCTTTCTCCTGGTCCTCTCCTTCTTCTTCTGTTCTTTCTTTTTGTTGGTTCTATTACTTTGGAGAATCCTGACTGGGGAAAAGAGATGATACATATCAACAGGTGGGATACATAAAAACAGCTCAACTTTTAAAAATCAAAGTAAAAAAGAGAAAACTGAGAGGAAAAGAGAAGTTAGAAAGTAAAGAATAGAGAAAAGGAGGAAATAGAGCAGTCAGATTGATGATACAAGTGAGAAGACCCTGGAGCAGCCCCGGAAGTAGACGTTAATTATGAAAAGTATCCTGTAAGAAAGTCAGAGAAATAATGTTCCTAATCTTTGGAGGCAATCTCACTATGTAGCCCGGGGCCTCAAATTCTCCATCCTTCTGTCTCAGCCTCCCAGGACTGAGATTACAGGCAAGCACCATCATAGCTGCCTGCTTTTCTCATTTGAAAATTGGATTTTTTTAAAAAGTTAAAAGAGATCTTATGTGTATGTATGTGGATCTACCTGTCCGCATGTGCATGTCTACATGCACACAGCACCCTTGAAGGTCGGGTGAGGACATCTGACCCCCTGGGACCGGGGTCTCAGACTTTTGCAAGTGTCTATTACCAATACTTGGAACTGAAGCCAGGTCCTCTGCAAGAGCACCAAGGGGTCTTAACTACCCAGCCATCTCTCCAGACCCCAAAGTATGGTTTTTAAATAAAAAGCATTCACTTAAAGAAACGGGTTCAAAAACAAACAAACTTTTCCTGACAAAGAAGAAGAAGAAGAAGAAGAAGAAGAAGAAGAAGAAGAAGAAGAAGAAGAAGAAGAAGAAGAAGAAGAAGAAGAAGAAGAAGAAGAAGCTCCATGAGACGGGCCCGTTCCTGTGCGGCTCCACCGTCCTCAGTAGCTACACTCTGCCCAGTTTACTCTCACCACAGCACTGTGGGAGGGGCTGTGCCTAGCCCGCGTCCTCCTGCCTGATCTGATTCTGCCTCTTGACTTCCAGAGTGTTCCCTTCCTTCTGAACAGCTGAGCAAGTGTCCTGCAATCCACACATGATCAATAAACCAAAACGAAGTTCCGTTCCCGGTCATGCAGTAGGCTCTGCCCCAGTAGTCCGGACCTCCTGGATCCGCGCTGGAGACCCACCCACCACTTAGCTTTTATCCATTTCATGTGTATGAGTGTTTGCCTGAGTGTATGTAGGCGAATCATGTGCGAGCTTGATGCCTGCTGAGGCCGGAATTGGATCCCCCAGAACTGAAGCAATACATTGCAAATTACAAGCATTATGGGTATTAGGAACTGAACCCGCATTCTCTGCAAGAGCAGCAAGCATCATGACCTCTGAGCCATCTCTTCCGTATCGACACAATATTTTTAATACCTTGAGACTTTTGCTGTTTTCAAGTCTCCCTGTTACAGAGCTAGCAGGGGTGACCTGATCCAGGATGGGGTATTTTGGAGGACACTTGACATAAACATTCTTGAGTCTGCGACAAGGAAGGGTCTTCTTCATCCTACAGTCTACTTTGAACATGCTTAAGTGGCACGGGACAAGTTACCACTATAATATATATTACCAGTGCCGTGGAAAGTTAATTACTGCTGCCATTGAAGAGATTTGAAAGGCTGGGTGGTGGTGGATTAAGGTCCTTTAATCCCAGAACTTGGGAGGCAGAGGCAGGAGGATCTCTGTGAGTTCGAGGCCAGCCTGGTTTACAAATCAAGTTCCACAGCCAGAGCTGTTACACAGAGAAACCCTGTCTCAACAAACAAACAAACAACACACACACACACACACACACACACACATATATATATATACACACACAGACACAGAGAGAGAGAGAGA